GACGATGAGGATAAGGGTGGTGGTGATGATGATTCTGGTTGTAATGGGGATGGTGATGCTGATGATGACACTGGCGATGGTAGTTATGGCAGTGATGATAAGAATGATGCTGCTGATGCTGGTGATGTCGAGGATGACGGTGATTATGATCGTGATGCTGATGCTGATGACGATGATGGTGATGCCGATGGTGATGGTGATGCCGATGACGATGGTGATCATGATGATGAGGATGATGATACGGATGATGAGAGTTGTGATGATAATGATGATGATGCCAGTGGTGTTCATGGTGATGATGACGATGACGATGCTGATGCTGATGATGATGCTGCTGATGATGATTATGTTGAATGTGATGGTGTGGTTGATGATGGTGATGCCGACGGCGGTGATTATGTTGCTGATACTGACGATGATGATGCTGGTGCTGTCAATGAGGATGATGACGATGATGATGATGATGATGATGGTGGTGATGGTGACGATGCTGATGATGACGACGATGATGCTGATGATGACGATGCTGCTGATGATGATGATGATGATGATGAGGATGAGGACAATGATGCTGGTGAGGGTGGTGATGCTGAGAATGATGACAATGATGATAGGGGTGAGGAGAATGAGGATGAGACGTTAACGTCGGAGGACAGGGTGGATGAGGGGCTCGCAGTGCACATCGTATCCACACGATCCCTCCGTCCAGTTATCTTCCCAACGCAGCCAATCCAGTTCATACAGTCAATCCAGCCATGACGCTCAGGCAGTCTGCCATTCTGTCCACTCTCGGATCATCCTTCTTCACGCCTGGCCCTGCTTACTCGGTTGTCACTGTTGTCTGTGGTGCAGGAACACGATTTGGATGCCGCTCGTGTCCTTGGCGATCCTTTATGTCGCTTATTTTTTGTGTGTGCCCTAATCACACGTGGGAGGCGAGGGCGAGGACTGTCCTGCAGAAGGCGTGTCTTCCGAATCCTGGACTTTTACCGTCCATTGGCATTGGCGATGGCGGTGGCGCAGGTGGTTGAGTTGCTCCGCTGGCCATAGCTCTTCTCTTGACATGTTCGATATATCGTTCTCTGCGCTAGTTGCAGCAACGCGTTCATCTCCTTTTACATGCGCTACGTAAGAAATGCGTTTGGCTGAGTCGAGTTCCAGCAGGGACGTCCCTCTGCCGTCGCCTCGTCTCACGCCGCCCCCTCCAACTCCTCCGGTCTAGTCGGCTTATGCTGTCGTTGCCATTGTATCCGCTTGCAGTGCCCTCCCCCATCCCTCCTCGCTCCTCCCCCTCTCCCTGCCCTCCCTCGCCCTCCCCTCCCCTCCTCCCCCCTCCCTCCCTCCCCTCTCCTCCTCTCCTCCCTCTCCCCTCCTCCCGCTCCTGTCTCCTCCCTGCTCCTCCCCTCCCATCTTCTCCCCCCCCCCCGCCCCCCCTCCTCCCTTCCCCTCCTTCCCCGCCCGGAGGATCGGCTCCTCGGCATCCAACGCGTTCGGGGTGCCCACGGCCTCCCAGAGCCTCCAGCGCGAGAACTCCGGACGGCTGCAGGCTGGGGTCTCGGGGCGGGTTGGCAGGGAGGCCCCCAAGAGGCCTCCCTCCTGATCGTCGTCCTCCTCCTCCTCCTCCTCCTCCTCCGCCCTGCTCTTCCATCTCTTCCTCCGCCCTGCTCTCCTCCGCCTCCGCCTTTCTCTTCCGCCCTGCCCCCTGCCTGCTCCTCCTCCTCCTCCTCCTCCTCCTCCTCCTCGTTCTCCGCCTCGTGACGGCTGGAAGAGAGGACGCTGGAGCAAGAGCGACCGAGCTAGGAAGAACAAATTTCCCCCCTCCAGTCCCTGGCGTTTCACAAGCGCGGGTGTTGCGTCCGGGATGTTGGGTTCAAGCTTTTCTGGCCCCGCTCCTTTGGGAACGCTTGTTCAAGATGAAGGCCGGGGTCGGAGGGGAGTTACGCGAAGTGGTTCCCCAACGCTTGTTGCACAGTTTTCCGTTAACGGACAAGTAACTCCTCCATGTCTCGCCCTGAGACGCGTCGTTAGGGCAGGGCGGGCGGTTCGCCAGATACTTCCTCCCCGTTTATGTATTGAAGCGAATTAGGAATTAGCAACACTTGTAAAGATAGAGCGCAGATCGTTTTCAAAATGGGGCTCTCGCCCCAATGCCGCGCACACCCGCTTCAAAACATCATTGTAAATATCTCAGCGTGTTTAAGGATGGGGAGCTGTTTTTTGAATCGGATTCTCGCCTTAGCGCCGCGCAATTTCTTGTTAAATATTTGCGACTGGTTTCAGGATGGAGGGGGGTCGTTTTCAAAACGGGGACCTCGCCTTTGCGCCGGCACGTTCGTCTCAAAATCGTGCAACCGTTTGAAGGATGAAGTGGCGGGGGTCGTTTTCATCATAATTGAGTTCTTGCCGCAGAGCAGTGCCCATGTTTTTGGTTGGTTTGCAGCAGTTCCAAAGACGGAGGACGGATCGTGTTCGAAATGGCTCTCTCGCTTGAGACTTCCGTACATTCAAAGTCCAACATCATAAATATGTAACGGTTGTATCGCTGGAGGATGGCTTCTTTTCAACATTGGGCTCTCGCTTGAGACTTCCTCGACACCCATGACCAGGGCTGTAAAATTATGCAACGCTTACATCGGTAGGGTCTGCTGTTTGTCAAAACGTGGATCTGGCTGGACACCTCACTCAAGTGCACGCTCATACCTCGTTGCACTCCTTACGGCCCCCTCATGAAAATTGGAGGAGGTTCCTTTTCAACGCGGGGCGCTCGCCTGATTGGAAGGCGCTTAGGGTGGTGGCATTTCAAGGGGGCGATTCTTGTAGTGAAACGAAATGCCTGCAGGGACCTGTGAGGAGGGGACCTGGGACTGGAGGGTGTATTGCGGCATCGTTAATGCATCTTAGGTTTGCTCCAGTTCTCCTCCTCCTCCTCCTCCTCGTCCTCCTAGTTGTTCCTTCTCCTCCTCCTCCTCCTCCTCCTCCTCCTCCTCCTCCTCCTCCACCCTGGGGAAATGGGAGGCGGGAGAACGGCAAAACTCCTACAGTGGTGGCTAGTAGCATGGCGTTGAAACAACGAGGGAGGAGGCAGGATGGACGGAGGAGGGAGGAGGAAGGGAGGAGGGAGGAAGGATGACCTCCCGGCGCTCCCTGCCCCTCCCCCCTCCCGAGACCTCTCGAGGTTTGAGATTACCGATTCTCAGGGTTTTCGAGCGCTTTCGGCCTCTGGAGGCCGTTTTGGGGCCTCCGGGCCGTCAGTAATTAGAAGCTGGTCCCAGCGAAGGGGTCGACGGGTCTGGGGGGCTGAGGCTAGAAAATGTCAGGTGTTCGGAGGCCTGCGAACTCAGGGCTCACATGTGTGCATACTACCTTCCCCCTCTTCCTTGCTCGCGCTTCTTCTTGATGTCCGCCGCCCCGCTCTTCCCTCGCTTCCTCCTGTCCGCTCCCTCGCGCTGCTTTGCCTCCTACCGTCCTCGTCGCAGGTACGCACTGCCCTGGTGTTCAGATCTCAGTCAGGTTTGCGTCGATGCATCACGAATCATGTGCCTTCCCACGCATGGGAGCAGTGCATGTCATGCCACAACACAGCAGTTGAAGCGTTACTGACTTGACCTGTCTCAGGTCCATGGGAGCGCAAGCAAACCATCGCACAATCGTGGAGCAGTCTGCCTGCCAGGATCTCCAGACGTGCCAGACCTTCCAGATAACGGATCACGCCACATGTGACGAGGGTGCCGAAGTCTACCACAGCCATCACCGCGCCACCGTAAGCGGCAGCAGAACCGGCGGGCGTCAAGCTCACAACGGAGGGCCCCGCCCAGTGCGGCCACGGCCCTCTCCCCACATGCCCCTTTATAACTGGCTGCGTCGACCGCAGGGGATCTCCGCACAGCGCCCTGGCCCCTCCTCCTCCTCCTCCTCCTTCTCATTTCCTCCATGCCTCCCAGATGCGGTCCGAGTAGATGTGGTCGGAGGATCGCGCCGCATCGCCGATACATCAGCGATGCGGCTCGATGTTGAGCCCGATTTTTCTCCACGCTGCTGGTGCCGATGCATCGGCGACGACGCCTGTGCGGCGCGATCCTGTGGCCCCATCTACTCGGATCCCATTTGGGAGGTCTCCAATGCCAGACTTTCTCCTCGGCAAGAGCCTGCGATGCTCGTGGGCAGTGGCTTGGCGGCGGGCGCTGACTGCGACAGCCTCAAGAGCAACGCATGGATGTGAGCTCCCCCCCCCCCACGAGGTGGCGCTGCACCCACAGCTGCTGCTCCCCCCGCAGCCGCGCGCCTCGAACCCGATGACGCTGAAGAGACTCACCATGAAGGCCGCCGCCTTGGCCAGCGGCCTCAGGAGGAGTGGCTCGGGCGAGGTTGGGCCACTCCAGAACGCTATGGAACGCCAAGGGCCACCACGAGGGTGCAACGTTAGTCGCGCTTCGCGGCCTGTGCGCTTTCAGAGCGAGGCACGAGTCCCTCATCCTGTTCCGAGGTGGGGGCGGCGCGGCAGTGCGAAGATCATCGCGCTTCGCGGAGCGCGAAGCGCGAAGATAGTTGCCCTAGAGAGCATTCTGGAACGCTCTCGCAGTTTTCGGGAGCGCCCCTTAAACCGCCAGACCTCGGAGGCCCCCACACGTGTCCCGATGCGGTGTTGTCCCGCTCTTGGCTACGTTTTGTGTGGAGCGGCCGGCGGCTGGCGTCGGCCTGCGACGGAGTCCTTTTTGGTTTGGCAGTCAAAATCCCAGCCAGGGCCCTGAATGTTGGCTCCGGAATTGCATAACGATGACCCCCCCGCCCACTCGCTTGGCGGGGGGAACAGGACTCGTGGCGGCGCATGATCGAAGAGTCTTCCCCCCTCGGTATTATGAGCCCGAGCGGGCGCATCAGTGCTTGTTGCCTGCTGTGATTCGCGTGACGTCGATAGACGCCTCTTGGGCCGCTCAAGCATTCATGATTCTTGGCCCCGAAATCTTCTGAAACATGAAATGGTTGCAGATGAGGAGGAGGATCAGGTAGAGGAGGAAGAAGAAGAAAACAAGGACGAGCGCAGCTCACATACTCATTGCTCTTGGCCTCATAGGTGTGTGTTGCCTGTAGTTCTTGGGCTCACATTCGAGGGCGCGGTGCGGTGGTGGCAGCCAGGTTGGGCGCGAGGAGGAGGAGGAGAGGAGGAGGAGGAGGAGGAGGAGAAGGAGGAGGAGGAGGAGGAGGGAGACGAGGGAGAGGAGGGGAAGGAGGATGAGGAGGAGGAGGAGGAGGAGGAGGCGGAGGAGAAGGAGGGCTCCGGGCGCACGCGTGCGCGACCCGCTCGGCCTCTGCCCAAGGCAACAGGTGTCAACTGATGCTGTCGACTTATGCGCCCAGTGGCGGTTACCATGATGATGGTGATGATGATGTTGTTGATGATGATGGTGATGATGATGCTGATGACGATGATGCTGATGACGCTGATGCTGATGCTGGTGATTCTGATTATGCTGATGACGATGCTGCTGATGAAGATGATGATGAGATGATGGTGATGATGATGCTGCTGATGATGATGACGATGCTGATTGTGATGATTATTGTGCGCATGATGATGGCGATTATTATGATGCTGCTGAGATTGCTGGCGATGGTGGTGATGTATGCGATGACGACGATGATGATGTTGCAGCTGATGATGATGACCGTGATGTTGATGATGACAATGCTTATTAGTGATGTTTTCCATGACGATGATTCTCATGATCGTCACTGGGGCGCAGACGTTGCCAGTTTGTTCTTTGGGCGCCAGCCTCCAGTGGTTGCCTCCAGGGCTCTGGGCTCCCACAGGGACCTGGGGTGAAAACCTACACCGGAAGGAAACGGCGAGCGGTCCGGAAACCGACTTTGAAGCTTGCCCTCGGTGCGCGTCTCTTCGCCCTATTGCCTCCTGCGAGCCGTCGACGGTGCAGGCCGCCGTGCAGCGACCTGGCCGACCGCAGCCCGCGGGGAGGGCGCGGCCGACGAATCCTTCGCCTCTTTCCCCAGAGTTGCTGATCCCACGAGGGGCCTGCAGCTGGGGCGCCGGTGGAAGAGGGGTGAACAGCGTCACACCGTTCGGCCCCCTCAAGACCGATGATCCTCAGGAGGTATGTTAGACCAATGTGTGTCTACACCGTTCAGCCCCAATCGTAGATCATTCCATCACCAGCGTTGTATAGAACTGTTTCGGTGGACAAGCACACGTGAGCGCTAACACACGTTCCGAGGATCATCGACAGGAAGCCTCTGAGAGGAATACCCTTCAGGAGCAATTTCGGGGTCAGCGCGCCTTCGTTGCCAATGCTACAAAACATTGCGTTTTGTGGGTCGAGCGCTACTTGGACACAGCTCCGCGCCCTGATTTTCCCCACCGAACTTTAAACATACATTCGAATTTTCTGAAACAGCAACATGACAAATGATCGCGGCGATGGCCCGCGGAGGGAGTCATCCATCTGGCGGCATGGCCTATGTATTCCAATGCTCTGCTCCAGCCAGCGGGCACGCGTGCCTTTTCATGCCACGAAACATAGTATTTTCTTCCATTCCCATGCTATCCAAAGAAAGGTACGCACATGCATCAACGTCCGCAATCCCCTTCACTGCAAGAGCAGAACAGGTCGCGCACGTGTGCACACTGCAAGAAGGAGGATGAGGCAGATGATGATGATGATGATGATGATGCTGATGATGCTGATGATGCTGATGATGCTGATGATGATGCTGCTGATGATGATGATGCTGATGACGCTGATGACGATGAAGAGGGGGAAGAGAAGGAGGAGGTCGAGGAGGAGAAGGTGGAGGATAAGGAGGAGGAAGAGGTGGAGGCAGAGGAGGAGGATGAGGACGAGGAGGAGGAGGAGACAGATGATGATGATGATGATGATGATGATGATGATGATGATGATGATGATGATGATGATGATGATGATGATGATGCTGATGCTGATGCTGATGCTGATGCTGATGATGATGATGATGATGATGCTGATGATGTTGCTGATGATGATGATAATGAGGAGGAGGAGGAGGAAGAGGAGGAGGAGGATGTGGAGGTGGAGGAGGAGGAGGACTAGATGGATGAGGAGGAGGAGGAGGAAGAGGAGGTGGATACAGAGGAGGAGGATGAGGAGGATAAGGAGGTGGAGTAGGAGGAGGAGGAGGAGGAGGAGGAGCACGAGGAGGACGACGACGAGGGGGAGGAGTATGAGGAAGGAGGAAGACGAGGAGGGAGGATGAGGAGGAGAACCAGCCCCTGGCAGTTTGTGCAGCTGGTGGTCCCCAGCACGTGCCAGACTGCGTGGCCGCCGTGTCCTCGCACCAGCCTATCTCATGCCAGCTCTGCGAGCGACAATCGGGGCCGTGCAGAATCTGAAGCGATCAAAATTCAAACGTCACCCATTACAGCCTACGACAATTTTGGAGTCGCCTCCTATTACAGCCTTTGTTTAACTCTTGTCGCAAAGCTTCTGCCTGACGCCTGATTTCTCTGTGTCTAAAGTTGTTGGAGGTGTTGGGGTGCTTGCTTGTCTGTCCCGAGGGCGGCAATCGAGACACGCTGTCTGGCCCTCGTCCTAAGATTATCGCAGGGCCCCGAAAGGCTTCCCGACATGAAGCGAGCCACACGCCACACACACACACACACACGATAGCACCAGGGCGGACGAGGACGACTTATTGACGAGGAGGAGGAGGAGAAGGAGGAGGAGGAGGAGGAGGAGGGGAATGGGGAGGGGCAGGATGACAAGAAGCGGCGGACCATTAGGCCGCGCCCTCACGTTCCAAGCCCGTCCGTGTAAACCGATGCAGTTCTCCTTTCTTCACTACGTACTGCGAGCCCAGATGGGAAAGACGACGGCCCCACGCGGGTACCCAGGCTCAGGACTTGGGGAGGGGGGCAGAGATGGTGGTACTCCTGTGGCCTGCCCGAGGTTCCAGGACTGCGGAGTGCTGGAGGAGCAGCAAGCTTCGCCAGTTCCTCTGCCGCCGCCGGCTGCCGGCGCCGCCGCGCCCAGGGAGGGGGCCGCTCGGGCGGGGGTCGACGAAGGCGGTTCTGCTGATGCCGTGCAGCGCGCTCGTGGGCACGAGCTCCTTGCCGGGTCCCCCCATTGTCGTGTGCGGGCGGCGCAGAGCTTCGGGGCCAGCGACGAGCGGCGCGGGGCGCGTGGCCCAGCGAGTGCGCGGGGCCGTCTGTCGATTTCTGTGATGCGCCTATGAGCTCAACCTCTTCCCGTGCTTTTATCTCCCCTGTTCTGTGATATGTTGGCTCAAGCCAACCAGAGTTATGCATTGTCTGTGGCCTCTCGGGGAGGAAAAGGGATCCTCTCTCACTGTCATAGTGTACCCTCGAGGAGGGTTCAACTCACAGTGGTAGCGGAGCCGGTCAGCCGCCTGCTGACGGCAGCGGCGGCCGGCTCCAGGCATGTCTGCGCAATCCCGCGATTCTCAGGGAGCACGTGACGGAGAGAGAGAGGACGACTCCTTCGAGCAGGTCGCCAACGCACCTGGCCTGGCAAAAGACGACAACAGCGGTCAGGAGAAGGATGTTCGCACGATTTCCGTGCAGGAGCTCAGAGTTGTCGTGAAGGAAGCGTTCGAAGAGATAATCAGCGTCTCCTGGAGAGGATCGTCGTCGAATCGGCGCGACGGCAAGTGGCGAGACGACAGCTGGGGCGAGTACGGCTGGAGGGGGTGGGCCTCGTCCGGTCCGTGGCTGATTGGCGTACTGGTGCCTCGCAGTCTCGGAGTGCCGTCGCGATCGGGAAGACGGAGGACGATGAGTGGGAGCGAGATGACCCTTGGCCTCATGGTCGGCGAGAAGATCGTGCCCGAGCTGATGGACGCGATCGCGATACTGATCGGGACAGGGACAATAATGCCGACTGGGACGACACTCGGGGAGGCTGGACTAGCCGGGACTGGTCAAGAAGCCTTTGGGACTCAGGTGGCCGATGGTCCAGCGATCGCAAGGGATATTTCACCGATCCGGAGGCGTCGGTGTCGTGGGCTGACGACAAACTATGGAAGAGAAAGATAGGCCGCTGGACGAACGCCACATACGTGACCATCTCAAAAAGAGCCGACAGAGTGGTGAAGCAGTTGCCCGTCGATCTTCAACGAAAGCTCGAGCACTTGTCCGACACGGCGTTGGAGAGCTCGGACGGCGCGGATGCGATCTTGGCGCACCTAGACGTTCTATCGGGCGAGCGCCAGGGCGACGAGAGGATAAAGGCAGCGAGAGAGTGCCATCTTCAGCTCCATCGGCAGTCATCGGAATCGATGTGTGACTACACAGCGCGCAAGAACGTGCAGTTCGACAAGCTTGCGGGTCAAGGGTTACCTTTGCCAGACGCGCGGAAGAATATGTTCTTAGAAGAGGGCGCGGCCCTCGACATCCAGGGAGCCCAAATCTTCAGATCCTCGGCTCGCGACGCGGACACATGCGGCGCGAACCTGCGAGCTCTGCGTGAAGAAGAAAGAGACGCTGATCTCTACGAGGGCAAAGACCACGTTGGTAGTGGACTCGTTTCAGGACTACATACCAGGGCGCGCGAGAGAGGATAGACGCCAAGGATGTGCTGTTGAAGTATGAGGACGTGAGCTCGATGAATTCGGAATGCGAGATGACCCTCCTCAGCGCCATCGAGAGTAAGGACTTGCTCGAGGAAGAGATCCCAGAAGTGCCCGCCTTGATCCAGGGCGAGCGCCCGAAGACATGGAAGCGTAACAGAGAGTGCAAAAGGCAGCTGAAGGTGGATCGCAAGTACTTCCAGAGGCCCATGCCCGCACCAGGGGCCTCAGACGCCAAGCGACAAGTTCGAGATGGTGGCAATAATCGCAGTCAGAGGGGTCTCATTCGCGAGCGCAAGACGCGCCTCGCGACGAGCGAGATCACCAAGCGCGCGAGGTGCAGGAAGTGCGAGCAGAAGGGGCGCCAGGGCGATGAGTGTCCTAACTCCCCGGCCCAGAGGCCGCAGGCAGCGGCGTTCATTTTCCTGAGCGACGGCGGCCGCGACTGCGGCGCGGCGGTCATCGCCGCGGAGGAGACCGAAGAGTGGATTGACCAGGCTCGCGAGCAGGTTCGAGAGCGGCCCAGGTACCGATGTCTGGCGTTGCGCACGCACTCAGGCTGTCGGGGTCGGCGCGCGAGACCTCGGCAGCTCGCGGGCGCCTTGGCGCACGATGCATGCGGCGCCTGACCGGGGCCGAGGTCAGCGCCTCGATCGCCCAGACGTTCGAGAACGTTCCGCAGCAGCTGGCGACCGGGCGGGGCGACCGGGCGGTTGCAGGCACGGGGCCATGATCGTCGACGCGGCCGTAGGTCAGGGCCTAGTCGGCGAGCCCGCGATGAAGAAGTGGGAGCTCGACCTTCAGGAGAAGGGCTACCGGGTCGCGAGGGTGCCGCCCAGGCGCGCGCAGGCCCGAGGTATAGGTGGCGCGGTGAAAATTTTGCACAGTGTGCTGAAGCCCACAGGGGTCGAGCAGCGCATGGGGGCGTCAGAGATCGACGCTATGAACCCCGATATCCCCCCCCCCCCCCATGATGCTGATCTCTCTGCAGGACCTTCTGGGGGCCAGCATCGATCTTCCCGCAGGCGCTGTTTATTCCACGGAACTGGGGTGCTCCACAGACCTGTTCCGTCTTCCTTCTGGACATGCTTTTTTTCCCCCCAAACCCTCCTGCGTTGGGCACTCGCTTTGAATAGAGCACTGCGGTCTCCACCTTCCTTCCTTCCCGCCTCCTTCTCCTCTCTTCCCTCTTCCTCTCCTCTCTTGCTCCCCTTCTCCGCCTCTCTTCGCTCCTCCTCTTCTCTCTTGCATCCCTCCTCCTCTCTTCGCTCCTCCTCTCTTGCTTCCCTTCTCCTCCTCTCTTCGCTCCTCCTCTTCTCTCTTGCCTTTTACGTCATCCCTTTGGGGCTGCGATCTGTGAAACTGTCGCCACTTTCGAGGGCTGCTGGTGGGTCCAGCGGAGTGAGGCACCACGCAGATTCAGATTAGACCTCGCCATCCCTGGGGGGCTGCGATCTGCGAAACTGTCACCACTTTCGAGGGCTGCTGGTGGGTCCAGCGGAGTGAGGCACCACGCAGATTCAGATTAGACCTCGCCGTCCCTGGGGGGCTGCGATCTGCGAAACTGTCGTCACTTTCGAGGGCTGCTGGTGGGTCCAGCGGAGTGAGGCGCCACGCAGATTCAGATTAGACTTCGACTTTCGAGGGCTGCTGGTGGGTCCAGCGGAGTGAGGCACCACGCAGATTCAGATTAGACCTCGCCATCCCTGGGGGTTTGCGATCTGCGACACTGTCGCCACATTCGAGGGCTGCTGGTGGGTCCAGCGGGGTGAGGCACCACGCAGATTCAGATTAGACCTCGCCATCCCTGGGGGGCTGCGATCTGCGACACTGACGCCACATTCGAGGGCTGCTGGTGGGTCCAGCGGAGTGAGGCACCACGCAGATTCAGATTAGACCTCGCCATCCTTGGGGGGCTGCGATCTGCGAAACTGTCGCCACATTCGAGGGCTGAGGGTGGGTCCAGCGGAGTGAGGCACCACGCAGATTCAGATTAGACCTCGCCATCCCTGGGGGGCTGCGATCTGCGACACTGACGCCACATTCGAGGGCTGCTGGTTGCGAAATTGTCGTCACTTTCGAGGGCTGCTGGTGGGTCCAGCGGGGTGAGGCACCACGCAGATCCAGATTAGACCTCGCCGTCCCTGGGGGGCTGCGATCTGCGAAACTGCCGCCACATTCGAGGGCTGCTGGTGGGTCCAGCGGAGTGGGGCACCACGCAGATTCAGATTGGACCTCGCCATCCCTGGGGGTCTGCGATCTGCGAAACGGTCACCACTTTCGAGGGCTGCTGGTGGGTCCAGCGGAGTGAGGCACCACGCAGATTCAGATTAGACCTCACCATCCCTGGGGGGGGGGGCTGCGATCTGTGAAACTGTCACCACTTTCGAAGGCTGCTGGTCAGTCCCGCGGAGTGAGGCACCACCCAGATTCAGATTAGACCTCGCCGTCCCTGGGGGGCTGCCATTCTGGGAAACTGTCACCACTGACGCGGGTCGTTTCAGAGGTGAGGTTGCCCCTCGGGCTCTCTTGTCATTCCGTTCTTTTGACCACGAGCATGTTGAATGATCACTGTGGCGATCTGGCTCGGAAGTGAGGTTGCCCATCATTCCCAACCCTCCTGCGTTGGGTACTCGTTTTGAATAGAGCACTGTGGTCTCCACCTTCCTCCTCCTCCTCCCGCCCCCTGGGCTGCTGGGGTGGCCAGCGGAGTGACGCCCCACGGGGACTCAGATTAGACCTCGCCATCCTTGGGGGGCTGCGATCTGTGAAACTGTTGCAACTTTCGAGGGCTGCTGGGGTGGCCAGCGGAGTGACGCCCTACGGGGACTCAGGTTAGACCTCGCCGTCCCTGGGGGGCTGCGATCTGCGAAACTGTCGCCGCTTTCGAGGGCTGCTGGGGTGGCCAGCGGAGTGACGCCCAACGGGGGCCCAGATTAGACCTCGCCATCCCTGGGGGGGCTGCGATCTGTGAAACTGTAGCCACTTTCGAAGGCTGCTGGGGTGGCCAGCGGAGTGACGCCCTACGGGGACTCAGATTAGACCTCGCCATCCCTGGGGGGCTGCGATCTGTGAAACTGTCGCCACTTTCGAGGGCTGCTGGGGTGGCCAGCGGAGTGACGCCCTACGGGGACTCAGATTAGACCTCGCCATCTCTGGGGGGCTGCGATCTGTGAAACTGTCGCCACTTTCGAGGGCTGCTGTGGGGCCCATGAAACTGTCGCCACTTTCGAGACCTGCTGCGGGGTCCAGCATAGTGACGTCCTACGCGGACGCAGATTGGACCCGTCATTCTACTTCGATTATCCCGCATCTGCGATCGACCGTATGTGCGCGAGGAACTAGACATGGAGTGGTCTGGCACTGACTGACGTCAAATCGTTGTGTGCCAGTGTCTCCTGGGGTGTTGCCTGATGTGGATGCAGCTCGTCGGCGCTGCGACTCGAGCTGGCGGTCGTCCTTCGGACCCGCAGAAACATCTGCTGAGCTCGATGAACTAGGGGAACTACAGGAAAGAAGTGCAGGAAACGGAGGCCGGTCATGCACTCGCCGATACCTCGTTGCTCTGTCATCGTCTTTGCTGTTGCATGATCCTTATCTGGCCTGCCGGCGCCGCGGCTCGAGCTGGCGGTCGCCCTTCGGGCCCGCGGGAACATCTTCTGAGACAATTGGACGCCGCCGCCTTACTTGCAGGCAGCGCATTGCATTCGCGGACAGCAGCATGGCAGACCGCAGTGAGATCCTCAGTCGCGTGGTGTTGCCAAGCCGGGTGGAGACGCGCGTGATCGACCTGAAGTCCCAATCGCGCGTGCACTGTACCTGCGTGGCGTTCAGGCACGCGCGTGATGCTGCTCGCTCCGCATTCAACCAGTACGTCGCCAGTGCAACTTTGGACGATGGACAACCGATTAGATGATACGCGACCCCGGCCTTGAGTTTCTTTCCCGCGGGCCGCCCGCAGACCTGGCGGCGCTCCTGCGAGCGTTCAGCTCCCGCGCTGAAATGTGCGGGAAGGACTCGGAGAAGCTAGCGGGCGAGCCTCTCGCCTTCCTCTCTCTATCATGTGGAACTCTGCGACGACATGGCGCAGGCAGCGCTGCGGGTTAGCTCGCACTTGAAAAACGCGGCAGTCTCCTCCCGCCACTTTCATCGTCGTCCTGTTCCCCGCCTCACCTTCTCCATGCGTGCTGCTGCTTCCGCGATGGCCTTTCGCCCCCCCCGCCCTCCATCCATCCCTCTCCTACCCCTCGTTCCCGTGCCCGTTCTTCTTCGATCCTGGGGCCTCAAGCCTCGTTCTTTCGATCGTCGTCCTGTGAATCGTGCAGCGCACGCGCATCCCATGTAGTTTGCACAGCAAACCGCCGCGTCTACACTGTCGTTGTTCCTGCTAATGTTGGCATACTCCTCTTGCCATTTGATGCACGTGGGTCGGGTGCGTCGCAGGGTTATTTTTGCGAATGAGACGGCCCCGGGCCCAGAGTCCACTTCGAGCGCCCAGGGGGTCTCCTGAAGGAGTGCCCTCAGCTGAGTCCATGCGCGTTCAGGGCTGCCCCGGGCGAGAACTACGGGATGGCGCTCGCCTCCTCTTCCTCCCCAGCCTCTGCGGGGCCCCGGGCTCGAGTCGAGATGCATCGTAGTTTTTGTTTCCCGCTCTCCTCCTTCCCTCCTCAGGTGCCTTCTTTCACCGGCGCCCTGGAAACAGGCCCCACGCCCCCCCCGACCCCAAGGACCGCGCGTGAAGGCGAGACGACGACATGAACAACGACGAATACGACGGTTCAGATTATTGGGTTCTTCTTGGCAGTGTTTTGAGACGCGTTCATTTGGTTCCCCGAGATCAGCGATGCTCACCTCATGGCTTTCAAGACTCCCCTGTTCCATTGATTTCTATAGGTCCCTCGAGGTCTACCAGGTTGCTGTTGAGATCCTCGGGGGGCGAGCTGCATCAGGATGACGAGTGGGGCCAGAGCGGTTCCGACAGGACCACCGAGTTCAAGTGGGCAGGTCATGCGGGTTTCATCGTGACCTCTGGCTCCCCGCAGCAGCTCAGGCTCGAGTATCGTGTGGATCGGGCGTGCGTATCAGGCCTCCGACAGTCGTCCGAGACTCTTCAGAGTCCGAGTCGAGCTGGTGCAGTGCAGCCAGTTCGACACCGACGGGCAGGGCACCCGCGAGTCGAGAGCCCTCGACAACTGGATGGACATGATCACCTTGACGTTCTTGGCGGCGGTGACCTACTCAAGAGAGTTTCTGCGCTGCCCAGTCAACGACCGCCAGTGGACCAAGCGCGCGCTCAAGCACATGGAGCGCCTAAACCTAAGACAGATGCAGCGCCGTCATCCGATCCCGACGGTTCAGCAGGACAGCATCGGATTCGCTCACCGGTGGATCTGCACGCATAGCGGCCTGCGAGTCGGGCACCACGAGAAGAAGGGCCCTCGTATCTTGGCGAAGCGCGAGGAGACCTACGATTAGCTGGTACCACATCTGAACGATCGCCAGGCAGGTCGCTCCTCCAGAGATTCCTCCAGGCGTATCGGGACATTTGCCGAGCAGGATGGTCGCTCAGGAGGCGCGATGAAGTCGGATATCGAGGACGCGGTGATGCGTCCTGCGCTGCCCGAGGAGGTTCCACGAAGGCCCGGGCGGCGCCCCCGCCGGCGGTGAGGCGCCGCTCCACCGAGGCGGGCTTCTCGGCGGCATCAGTCAGGCGCAGCAGTTGAAGGGGCCCCAGGAGCAGCTGCGCGGCATCGTGCTGCAGCAGGGGGGCCACATGGCCCACCCAGATGCTGCGCACCATGCAGCAGCAGGGTCAGACCCTGCAGCGTCGGGCGGCAGGGGCTTCGAGCGCCTCGAGCGCGTCGACGGCCGCCCGGAGGTCGTCAAGTGCGCCGGGATCTCCGCCGTGGGAAATGGTCCAGGCGCTCCCCAGACCCGGGCGTGCAGGAGTGATTCCTGGGCCAGGCAAGCTGATATTTTTCCAGGGCCTGCCGGAAGAGACAGAGGAGCTTCTCGTCAGCAGCATAGCCAAGGTCGTCCCACGACGGACGCACCTTTGCGAGGCGTCCTTTCCCCTTTTTCGGGTAAGCCTCTCCAGAGGGCTCTGCGGACGATCTCTGCCAGCACAGGCCAAGATAACGAACGCCGGGCGCTGTTCCAGCAACCCCAATGGCATCAGTTTTTGGAGGAGAGTGTGTTGGGCGACGACAACGAGGCCACCATCCCCACCAGTGAACCCCGGACCCGAGGACGCCCAAAGACCTCAGACATGAAGAGCAAGGACCCCGAAGGATTCATAGACATTTTTTCTCCGGAAAGGGCGGGGCCGCGTCTTCGCAAGCACGGGGTCGTTCATTTGGGGAGTTGGGATCTTGAGACGGGTTGGGGCTTTCGCCTGAAGGCTCATCAGCTAAGAGCTCTGAGCTGGATAGACCTGCGCGAACCATGGATGGTCATGGTAGAGCCACCGTGCAAGGCCTTCTGCAGGATCTTGGATATCGGCCGAGAAAACGTGGATGCCGAGACGGCTCTTCGCACCCGTCTGGAAGGTCTCATGTTTTTGAGGTTTGCCGTGGAGGCGGCGATGGGGCAGATCGCGGTCAGGCGCAAGTTTGTTCTGGATCATCCGAACACGTCTCGATCTTGGTGCGCCAGGGCCCTGCAAGGGCTCATGAAGGTCGATGGAGTCTTCTACGCATTGATCGACCAGTGTCGCTTCGGCCTTCAGGCTTCCCCTCTCGGAGTTTCCCGAAAACCGACGGGGTTGTTGATTAATTGTTTCGCGGTGTGGAAGACCTATCAGGGTTTCGAGCGCCAGGGGGGGGCGCGCTCGCGTTCCCCTGGAAGGGGGGCAGAAGACCTCGGCGGCCCAGGTGCACCCCCCGAAGTTGGCAGAGAGACTGGCCCTGTCCGTGGCCCGGAGTGTTCGGTCGGCTCGACAGGACACCGGCGCCCTTCTGGCGGAGATCGCCCGCGTTCCCGCTCTCTCGTGCCACTTGGATGGCCGCGGCGGCTGCTAGGTGGTTAGCGCGGATACTAAGGGGTTAGAGGATTTAGTATGTACGTACAAGTGAGTTGTAAGTAGGTTATAAGTGTTGTAAGTCGGATGTAAGTTGTATAACCAGCTACAACTGGTTAGTAGGAGATACTAACCACTTATAGCTGGAGGCTAACCTTGCTAAGTCTCTAGTAGAGGTTAGCTCGCTAAGTCCCCACTCTAGCTACCACTTGCTAACCACTTAGTAACCACTTAGCTGCCACTTAGTAACCACCCAGTAACCACTTACTAACCACTTAGTAACCACATAGTAAGTCCGCTAGCTAGCTTACTTACTAAGTGGTTAGCGGACTTACTAAGTGGTTAGCGGACTCTGAGAAGGAGAAGGAGGAGGAAGAGGAGGAGGAGGAGGAGGAGGAAGAGGAGGGGGAGAGAGGAGGAGGAGGAGAAGGAGGATGAGGAGGAGGAGAAGGAGGAGGAGATGTCGAGGAGGAGGAGGAGTAGGAGGAGGACGGGGAGGAGGATGAGGAGGAGGAGGAAAGGGGGAGGCGGCGGCGGAGGCGGCGACGGGCGCGCCTCAGCCCAAGACGGCCGCTCGACGCGGCGGCCCTGCAGGGCCGCCGCGTCGAGCGGCAGCCTGGCGCGGCTGAGCGCGGCGCAGGCGAAGTTCGCCTGCGCCGCGCTCTGCGCCGCCATCTCCAGCGGCATTGCCGCTGGCGCGGGCGGCGGGGGGGCCCCGCGCGCCGCTCGGCAGCCAGAGCGGCCCACCGCACGTAGCCGTCGTCCACAACCCAGAGGGTTGGGGGACGACGACGTGCGACGGGCCGATGGCTGCCGAGCCCGTCCCACCCCTCGGGGATGTCGAGGAGGATCCCCGACATCCCCGAGGGGTCCTCCGAGAGGAGACTGCCCCATGGCTCGGGGTCGCCATCGAAAAACATGTCTTGATATGTTTTTCGATGGCGATCCCGAGCCGCGAAGCAAAGGGAAAAGGGAGGGCGCGCTCCCCGCGCGGCCTGTAAGCCGCACGCGCGCGGGCGGCGTCTCCTCCTCCCCCCTCCTTCTATCCTCCTCCTCCTCCTCCTCCTCCCTCTCCTCCTCCTCCTCCTCCTCCTCCTCCTCCTCCTCCTCCTCCTCCTCCTCCTCCTCCTCCTCTCCGCCTCCTCCTCTCGCCCTCCTCCTCTCGTCATCATCATATACTCCTCCCTCGTCCTCCTCCTCCTCATCCTCCTCCTCGTCCTCCTAACCCTCCGCTCCTCCATCGTCCTCCTCCTCCCCCCATCCCCTCCTCATCCTCCTCCTCCTCCTCCTCCTCCTAGCTTCCTCTCTCTCCTGCTCCTCCTCCTCTCTCCTCCTCCTCTCCTCCTCCTCCTCCTCCTCCCTCCTCCTCCTCCTCCTCCTCGCCCTCCTCCTCCTCCTCCTCCCCCCCCCCCCCTCCTCCTCCCCATCCTCCTCTCGCTCTGAGCTATCTCGTCGTTTTCCTCCTCCTCATGCTCCTCCTCCTCCTCCTCCTCCTCCTCCTCCTCCTCCTCCTCCTCCCCCTCCCCCTCCTCCACCCTCCCCCCCTCGTCAGAGGAGGAGGGGGAGAGGAGAAGGGGGAGGGGGAGCAAGATGAGGAGGAGGAGCAGCAGTAGGAGCAGGAGGAGGAGGGGGAGAAGGGGGAGGATGCGGGGAAGGAGGAGTTTGAACGACCGCACCACTGATCAACGACATTAGCGCTGCAGCGCAAGAGGAGGAGGAGGAACGAGGCGGAGGAGAGGAATCGGCGACCATGCACTGTTCAGGTGCTGCAGCACCGAAGTGTCAATGAAAAAGGTGCGCTATGCAGAAGGAATCCACGTTTTCAAGGCGGAGAAGAGGAGTCGTCGACCATGCAACGTTCAGGTGCTGCAGCACCGAAGCATTTAGCAATGTAAAAAAGTGCGCTGCAGCGCCAGTAAGGAATCCACGTTTTAGGCTAAAGCGCACCACCGCGGCTGCGACCATATCGGGCGCGCCACTCGGATGCCGCCGCCCTCGCGCGGCGCCCACGCGAGCGAGCACACGATGCTCGCCGTGTGCGCCCAAAAGGCGTCGGCATCGCCGCCAAGCACGTGCGCGGAGGCGCGCGGGTGCAGCTTCTCCTTGAAGAAGTAGGGCAGGACCAAGCTCAAGCCATAGTAGTGGCCGTTCTTGGTGAAGGAGAGGTGTTTCAACACCTCGGCCGCAATGTGTTCCCCTCCTCCGTCCTCCAACAGCACGACGTCGCCGTATTTGACGTCGTGGTAGCGGCACCGCGCTGCAGCGGACGTAACAAAGTCCGCAGGCCCGAACTGCTGCAGCAGTTCGCGCGAGATGGCCTTGGACGGCCTGGTGGCGTTAACCAGGCAGTTAACCTTAAAGGTGTCGCCATCCATGAGCTGCCACAGGTGCCGCTCGGTGACGCTCTTCAGGACATTGGCGTCCCAGCCGCTGGAGGCTGCAGCCCCCGCCTGAAGAGCGTTCGCAAAGCGCTTGCTGGTCTTGTGCTTGCGCTCCAAAACCCAGCACGACGGCAGCGCCACATGGCCCCAACGCCTCACGTAGTTGGCGAAGTGGTGCAGGTAATGGAACTTCTGCGCCATCGTTTCCTTGCCAAAGACGCTGCTGTATGACAGCAAAAACATGTTAACCGCAGCCTGCAGCTTATCCGCGTCTGCCTGACGCCTGGATACTCGTAGGATTTCTTCCACAACGATCGTGTGCGCCTCGAACACTGCGCAAGCAGATCGGACTGCAGGCGCTGCAGCGTCGCTAGCCACCTCCCTGAAGAAACACGTCAATCCGCCCGCGCGAACGCATGTCCGAACAAGAGGGGTGCAGTACATATCCTACAGAAATTCACGTGCGCTGCAGCGCATGTATTATTGGTCTGGCGGGGGCGCGAAGCATGCAATGATACTTGCATGGTTGTGAGCCCCTCGCTGGCGGTACACTTGAAATGTTTGCTGTCAACGTGGGACCTCACGCGCTTCTCGCCGAAGATCGCGCACGTGTCGGGGGAGATGGAGTGGCACCCTGGAAACGACCAGTCCTGGAAATATGCGTCTGCGCGCGCCCAGTAACCCTTCAACCTTCGAAACATTTGGAACACCAGAATGTTATATGTACCGTTGACGAAAATACAATGCATCCAATCAAACATGACTGTCTCGAGCGGCTTGAGTTCCCGAACCCGCTCAGGCAAATGGGGGTCCCAGTTCCAGCCAAGTCGGCGCTCCAACTCCTGGAACTCGCCCTTGTTCATGATGTTGACCCCTTCGATCAATCTGTTGCAGATGGCATCGAGCAACGGCGCCGTCATCGGCTGCAGCCGCGACGCATCTGGTTCCGAGTGGTGAACAGCGACACCCGTCGCATCAGAAGCAACTATATCCCGAACTTCGCCCTTCAAGAACACGTTGCGGCACATAAAACATGGTTTGATTCCTGACGAACCTTTCATTCCGATCAAGCGGTGTATTGCATCCTCGTCCGCGATCCGACAGAGCCGCTGCAGCGACGCAAGAAGGCGTAATGGATATATACATGTGCACATGTATGCTAACTAATCTTGGGTGCTACGCGGCGACCGCTGCAGCGGCTGAATGTAAATTCCGAGGTCCATCTGGATGAGCTCCGTCGCGCCGTCGGGGCGCAGCCGCAAGCTGATGCCTGCGCTGAAGTTGTGCCCCTGATCAGGCCAGAACTGCGCGAGGATTGCGTCCAGTAGCATCGTCAGTCCGTGCGGCTGGATGTCGTTCGCGGTCTTGGCCCGCATCGTCGCGAGCTGGAACCACGCATCCTGCGAACAAATCGCAGCACAACTGGCGCTGCAGCGCTCTCTCTCTCTCTCTCTCTCTCTCTCTCTCTCTCTCTCTCTCTCTCTCTCTCTCTATCTCTCTCTCTACCCCCCTCCCCCCCCCCGCATATATCGTTGCTGCAGCAACGCTATCGCGAAAGTCCTCCGACGAAAGCGCCTGCGGGCCGAATTCCGCGATCGCCCAGTAGATGCCCCAGGACTTGCGGTTCTGCACGTGCGCCAGCGCGTTGCCAGCGCCTATTTCATCGCCGTAAATGATGATGTGCCACGGGCGTGGCAGCTCCAGCGCCCGCTGCCACAGAGGCTGCGTCGCGGGGAGGGCGCTGCAATACCACAGCATTGCTGCTGGACTGCAGATCTCCACCGTGTGCTGCCCGACTACCATGTTCTGGTGGAGCTTGCCGCACGGCGTGTTCTCACCGACCATGAGCTCCCGAGCGTCTCTGATATCCTGGCGTCGGGATCCCAATTCGGGGGTTCCGTCTCGCTTAACGGACGCCAGGAATTGCGCCATCGCATTACAATGCATGAATGGCAGTTCCGCGCGAAGGCGGGACAGCCGCCGCAGCTTCGCTGGGCGGTCGTCCTCTGCCGCCATCGCGCGCGTTCCCGAGGCAAGCTTGCCTCCGTCGCTGCGCGCGCGCGGAGGGGCCCCTCCGCTAGGGGCCACGGCGACTACGGATGGAAATGAGGCTGCACCGCGTGGAGAGCAACCAAATGCGCGCTGCAGCGCTAACTGCCAAGCAACAGTCTGGGAGCACATGGCGCTACAGCGCCGCTAACGTTCAATGATGACAATCTGACGCGCTGCAGCGCGAACGTCCTCCTCCTCCTCCATCCTGCTCGCCATCCCCCTCGTCCTCCTCCTCTTCCTCCCCCTCCTATACCTCCTCCTCCTCCTCTTCCTCCTCCTCCTCCCCCTCCTCCTCCTCCGCCTCATGCGCCCCCTCATCCTCCCCATCCTCCTCCTCAACCTACCCATCCTCCTCATCATCCGTCTCCCGTCCCTTCATCCTCCCCGTCACCATCACCTTCATCGTCAACAGCATCAATATCACTCGCCCTCATCATCCGCCACATCACCATCCAACGAGAAACTGCAAGCGAAACTGCGCTGCAGCGCAACACATTAACACATCATGATCCGCGCGCAAACTTTCAACCGTGGTCCACGGAGAAGCGCTGCAGCGCAACTCAAACAACACGCTCAACCACGTTCCCTCCAGCCTTTACCAATCAATCGAACCAGCATGCTTCAGCAGGCGGTCGCCGAGGCCGACCTCACTCAGGTCACCTTCATCTTCTTGGCGTTCCGCAGCGAGGTCAACGCCTCGTTGAGTTTCTGGTTGGCCACGTCCGAAGCGGCGATGTCCATCTGACCCCGACCCTGCTACTCATACTCCTCATCCTCCCACATCATCGCCTTCCACCTCCTCCTGATCATCCCCCCTGTCGTCCTTCTCCCCCGCTGCAGCGGGGGAGTAGCCTGCCACACTCATGAACCCCACCGTCCTCCTTCTCATCCGCCTCCTCATCCACCTGCAGCTCCGCGGTGCGGATCTGCACCTGCTTCTCCGCTTTCCTGGCGTTCTTCCGCGCCTCCTTCACCTCTGCTGTAGCAGTCGCCGTCGCTCTCGCGCGGGCCTCGCGCAACTCGTCGCGACGGTCGGCGCGCGCTTGCGCTTCGAACGGCTTGTCGCAGCGGCGCGCCGCCATTGCGAGCCCAGTGAGGAGGCGGAGGAGGTCCGTTGCCAGCACCCGCTGCAGCGAACGATGGCGACTGCGACGCGCGAGCCAAGTGAGGAGGAGGAGGAGGAGGAGGGGGAGGAGGGCATGCCATCGGCAACGCGCAACATGAGCGAATCACAGCGCTGCAGCGCGTGACTTGGCAACAACCACGCGGGAGACAACGCTCGACATCACGAATGATGGCGCTGCAGCGCGTATCGACGAGGAACGACTGGCACTCAAGACGAGCACGTCACGCAATACATGGACACCGCGGCTGCAACTGCACACTCACAAACGCGCCAACGCTACAACGGCACCACAAGTCTGACAGGCGCTGCAGCGCTGCATCGGAACACAACAGCGCGCAATATCTACGCCACCATCCAGGAAAGCGAGCGCTGCAGCGCTGCATCGTGATCATGATGGCGATGCAAACGTTGACCACAAAGGCGCCAGCGCTGCAGCGCCCGCATCCAAGAGAACCCGTCAACATATTTGACTTTCATCCTCCTCGTCGTCCGTGCGAGCCGCGCGACCGCCAGGCAAGACCATCGCCACTACCGTTCATATCATCGGCCAGCGTTCCATCCAACCTCGCACTAATCCTCACCATCCTCCTCATTCCTTCTCCTCCACATGCTCATCCTCCTCATCATCCTACCCATCCTCCTCCTCGCCCTCATAATCCTCATCCTCGCCTCCATATGCCGACAGTGCCCGTTGCGCGCTCACGGCTTGCCGCGACGGCCAGTGAAGTTCGGGTCGCGGCACGTGCCGCAGCCATTCGGCAGGTAGCGGCATTTGCTGCACCCGAGTGCCATTTGGCCCCGTTTGGCTGCCGCCTTGCCCTTGGGCTTGGCCTTGGCCTTGGCTTTGGCCTTCCCTTTGCCCTTGGCCTTCGGTTTGGCCGTGCCCTTGGCCGCCGTCTTGCCCTTGCCAGCGCCTGTCTTGCTCTTGCCCTTGATCGCGCTCTTGCCCTTGCCCTTCTTGCCCTTGCCCTTGCCCTTGCCCTTGCGAGGCAGCTCGCCTTTCGCGCTGCCCGCAGCCAAGGTCTCGATCGCCTGCAGCACAGCATCCTCGTCTCCGTCTGCTGCTGCAGCAGCATCTTCGTTTGGCGGCGTTGGCGCTGCTGCAGCAGCATCTGGCGCCGCCGCTGACAATGCTGGCCCAGCTGGCGAATCACCAATCGCGGGGGGACTCGCGGGGGGGCTCGCCGTGGGCGCCGCAGGGCGGCGCGGGAAGAGCTGCAGCTGCAGCTCGTTGGGCGGCGATGGCGGTGGCGCAAACGCTGCCAGCATTTGCTGCATCACGGCCATCGCGTCCATGGGTTGCATTGGCGCTGCAGGCGGCACGGAGGGTGACCCCGATGGTGTCCATGGCACAATGGCAGTGCTCGGCTGATGCGGTGGGGCGGCAGCCCGCAAGCCCTTGTTGGTCAGCCTGAGAGGCACGCGGGCCTTGATGGCGTTGAGACCCGCAGGCCGCTTCAGCGGCGCACGCGTAGCATGAAACCTATCATGCTCTATGCGAGGTGGACCTAAAGGACCGAGCTCACCGAAGCACCCAAGACATCCAGAACAATCAGCGCTGCAGCGCATGACGGGGTGGCAGCAGCCTCGTAGATGCGATACCACGTTGGCGAGGTCGCGCGTCACATCGATCGGCGGGTCCGCATCGGTGTACGCCGCGTCGAAGATGTGCTGAGGGAGCTGCCGGGGATCTGCTGGGAAATTCCAAGTCACTGTCGCCGCTTGCCCCGTCGCGCCCCTGCGGCTCGCCAAGAACTGACCCTGTAAAGGGCGACTCGTCGGGAAACCCTAACGCTGACGCGCCGCATCGCATTGGCTGCAGTCAGTGCGATATGATGCGTCTGCGTTAGGCGTTCCCGCCGAATCCCAAACCTTCATCTCCGTCACGATCCCGTAGAGCTGCCCAGGGTTTGCGTCTGGAAGATGGGCGCATGCCATCAACGCCGCCAACTCTTTCAGCGTGTTCTCGCTCGGAACCGTCAAGCCGATGGCACCGCAACGTTTGATCAACGCGCGCACCTTCGCGACGATGCTCTGGCTGGGGTCGCGAAATAAACCCCAGTCCTGCATGGTAAAGTCCACCAGCCTACGAATCGACGCAGGCATGCTGCAGCATGCTAACATAAGTACATTTGAAAAATGAACATGGTAACATACATAAAGTACAGAACAAACAATTAAACCATACATGTGAATAACACTTCGGCGGTCCGATGTGCAAAGCACGATGGATAGCACCGCCCTGACGCGAGCGTCTGCACGCGCATCTGGAGCGCGTGCGTCGCCGTGCCCACGCGCGCGGCCAGCGCGGCGCCGAGGCGCGCCTTGTGGCTGTCCGCGAAGCCCGACGCGGTGATTCGATTCTGCAGGGTAGCTGCTTGGGCAGCCCCGATCGTCCCCAAGTTGTGAAGCTGCAGCTGCACGCTCATGGACAAGGCGGACTGGCTCTGCGCCATCGCGTCGGCGGCGATGACGCCGATCTGCGATGCGAAGAAGGCGTCGCAGCTGTCCAGGTTATCCAGGATGTGGTTGATGGGTGTGGCCGCAGCCGCGGCAGACATGATGCCCTCCGCGAGGGCGAGGGGGTGCGCGGACGCTCCGAGGGGAAGCGCGAGGGAGGGCCTCCCACACTGCGAGAGCTGAAGCACTCGGCTGCTGAGGTGGAAGAGAGGCCACAACAGTACAGATGCGCTGCAGCGCAACGATCGCATGCAATTAAGGAACACACGTGAGCGCTGCAGCGCTCAGCAGAAATCATCGTCACAAAGTAACATGAAGCGCTGCAGCGCTATGCATGCGCACCATGATGGAACGCATGGTAGTGGGCAATAGGGAGAGAGATATAGAGTG